TTACATACTAACGCTATTTGAAAAAATTCTAATCCCGCGCGGGTCAAAGTTCAACCACTAAACGATAATGATAGAGACCTTAAACACATTCGTGTGCACTCGGTTTCTCTATCACTCATTAACCTTCTCACCTCATGCTATTATTTCTGATATTTGCCTTTTGACGTTGTCTTTCTTATCGATTTCTTTTTGATTTATACCTCGTTTGACCAATTCATAGGCGGACTTGGTCGCGCTTAACAAGCACTACGGGCCTTGTAAAATACATTTTTTACCCGAAAAAAAAGGAACGATCATGATATATTTTAGGAATGATGTAATGGAAATCGATTCATAATGGTGATACTAAAACTGAAAAAAAAAACAAATAGAAGCAAGAGATCAAGAGGAGTTCTTCTTGACCCCATCTACATTACAATTAACTAAAACTCTTTATCAAATCACCATGCATGTCCTTTTTGATTCTCTTTATCTAAACTTAAAGCCATATATATTTTTATGTGGTTCGTTATCCATATTGTAGAGTTCCAAGTAAGCAAGATTGATTAATATACTTCTCGTTATTAAAATTCCCAGATCATATAAATATATATAGAACTTTTGAAATCGAATAGCAGATTAAAACAAAGGACAAAGATTTCTAGTGTGATGCATATGATGCCGTTTGTCATAGTACCATACTAGCATAGTAGCATGTGTGTGAAGGACGAAGCTATCCGCAATGGACATGTTGCATATGGAACCGTCTTCTAGTATCCGCAGAGGACGAAGCTATTACAAATATCAAATCAAAAGTATCTTCTAGTATTGATAAAATAAGTTTTCTGTGTACTCATAAGTTCAAGGTTTAAGCTATGAGAAAGAAGTAAGATGTGGTTTGTTTTAAGCATTTCTATATAAAACCAACGATCATCGTCTCGTAATACGAAACAACGTGAGCTACTAACGTGATCTAGTAAACGGTCACTAATACCATTTTTCACATCCATAACACGTATTTTAAGAACCAAAATACATGAAAAGAGGAAAAAGGGATATTTTATCTTTTTTTTTTTTAGCTATTTCATATATTTGGAGTTCTTGTTTAGTGTAAAACAAATTAAATACTATACCAAAAGCGGTTTAGTTGTTCAACTGAGATGTTTGTTCAAACATTTGCTTCCTTGGTAGTGTACAACACCACCTCGTCTTGGTTCTAAAGATTCACAAAACAAATCACTAGAACTTTGCGACTTGGAGAGTTGCTCGCAAGTGCCATTGCACGGTCCATGATATGTGAAAAAGAAGAAAAGCAATATCTTATAAATTCTTAAATTTATTTATTTGGTTTGGAGTTTCTATTTAGTACAAAACAAAGACAACGTAAAAATACCGTCTAGTTCTTCAATCGAGCTGTTTGCTTAAAGATCTGATTCTTGGCGGTGTCGGGTACGCAACAGCAATTCCTTGTGCCCCTGAAGTTTTCGCAAAACCAGTGAGTCATACCTTGCCCGTTGCAAATTTGCTGGCAATCGTCCTTGCATGGTCCATAACATAAGAGCTCATCATTGGCATTGATTGTGTACGCGCTTGCTTGTTCTACAAATTCCAAAGAAATGTAACGTGTAAACCAAAAAAAAAAAAAAGAAATAATATACTATGTATATTTTTAACTAATACCGAAACTAAGAAAAATAAGCTTTGGTATAGTTAAGAAAGTATATAGAAAAATTTGAGGATAAAAAATACTAAGAATGCTTGACTAACCTGCAACGACTAACAACAAAATTATTGTGATGGCACTAACAACAATTGAAGATCTGATCTTGTCCATTTTCTAAAGTATCGTGTAAATGTGAACGTGTTGTAAATATTTTCTTGTGTGTTTGGTGTTGATGGATTTTGTTGAGAGCTAATAGGTCTTTATATAGTTTAATTGGTGATACGTTGAAATTCTTATTGAAATTTTGACTAGAAATTTATCACCAAGCAAATTTGGTAGGAAACGAAATTTAGGATATGAAAATATCTGACTTTATGATATGTAAAATTCAATATGATCATGATATCAAGTAAACTTAGTAGAATATGATTCTATTTGACTATTTGTAAGAAAATATATAACAAAAAAAAACAAAATTCAACTAATAAACAACACACAATTATAATAAAATGCTATCTGCAAAAGAAGCAGTTTAACTCACCTGTCCCTGACTAGTCAGACCCACAAATATAACCATCATATGTATATAGATTATCAAAACTACAACGTTTCGGAAAAAAACTTGTATAAAACCAGCATTATCTGGCTTTGTCAAAAAGTTTTCCATCTTGAACATCAAAGATCACTTAGATTGCATGTCAAAAACTCAACCATCCTAATCTCATCAAGTTTTTGGGCCGATAGAATCAACCCAAATTGCAACGACAGACTGATCTTCCTTTGATACGATACGAGTATGCAAGTACAAAAACTATCGGCTATGGGATCCATCTAATCAAATTGACATAGTAGATATGTTTTGTGTAAATGGTGTATTGAAAATCTTTAATAAATCGCTGCGATTGTTGTTCCTTTGGTAACCGCAACGTCTGGTCGAAACATTTCTACTCTAGTCACAACGTTTAATTTTCCAGCGACCAAAATTTTCAAACGCTACATTAACGACTGGTCGCAAGAGTCTGCATCAGGTAAACAGACACTATTTGGCCGTAGCTACAGTCTCATGCATAAGTCAGGCAACGCTCATATTGTATCCGACGTGGGTTATATTTCTCTGTTGTTGTTGGGGTTATAATCTAGTATTTTAGAAATCAACGCTCATATTGTAAAGTTTAATAAATTGAGGGTGTTATTTACAATTATGAATTGATGTTTTTATCATCACTTTCTCTCTCCTTTTTAATATTCCACATCTTCCTTCGTTGCTTCGACTTTTATCAG